CAGAAAGATTTGTCACTTTCAACCGGACAATTTTGTTTCCGTTGTAATAAAATCTATAAACAGCACCATCTTTGGTATTATAATCAAACTGCAGTTACTGAAGATTAATATCACTAAGGCATTTACATATTAGTGAATACTTGTACAGAATTTTTTCTCCAAGACCATGTGCATGTCAGTAATTTCAACATCATCACAGACTTTTAATATTCTGTTATTTTATCATGAAAATTGACCCATCTTTGTACTTTGCAGACAAACATTCATTATTAAAGTAATGTATCTCGTTATATATTTACAGCTCATGCAAAACAAACTTTTGTTCGAAAATGTCAATGAAAGTGCTAGAATCACCTTTTTAGGAAAAGTGCAAAAAATTGGTTCTTACACTTTAAACATTAAATAATAATTTCAAAATGGTCTAATACTTTCAAGATGTAAAGCTAAAATCAATAAAGAAGGATATTAAAGGCATTAAGATCCTCGGAATGACATTTTAAAATAATATTCACTTTTACACAATCACAGGCTGACGACATTAACTAAGAAAATGAGTGTCCAATTAAAAGTAGTTTGACAAACATGTTTCATAAATTTACCAAATGCCAGGCTGGAAAGTCATTAAATTATTGATATATTTCCCTCAAAATATCTTCCCCGCAATAAATACAACGCTCAATTATAAATTCAAAAACAAGAAAGAGAGTTTCTTGGCGGCCAGTGAGTCAAGTCCTTTAATTGTATTTTATATCTTGGAGGCATTTTCATAATGTTTTGCAAGTTGTATAGGTTTACAGTGACATAAATTATATCTAGTATACTATTGTTCAATTCTCTATTGTATCATTTGTGAAGCTTATGCTGCCTCTGCTCTTCGAGGCATTTTCCATTTTTCTCTTCTTTTTTTAGACTGAGCGAACTTAAAAGCCACCGTATATTGTGAGAATGGCTAGAATTTCAAAATGTCTTCCCTGTCTTCATTTAGTATTATGCATGGCAGTGTTTACAAATTCTAAGAAACTGCAACAGATCTGTTGGGAAAAGTATTAAATTAACATTTTGAAAGTTTGTAAAAATGCTTCCCTCGAGGGCAATAACAGATATGTTTCTGCTTACAGTGTGATACAGTTGAATCATATTTTACGGAGAAAATATCTGTCCGGAACAATCCTTCATAAGCCTGATCGTAATGTACATGTATAAGCTGTAACCATTATAAATTATAGATAGAGATATTTATATTCAACACATGAATTATTGACCAAACTACATGTAATAGCAAGTGACATTTTAAGAAATTATGGTGGATTTATCAATTGATCCAACATTGTAAAAAATGCTTGAAAGCACTTCTTTAATGAATTTTGAACTACAATAATTACCATTACTTAAAAAAAAAAAAATCCACATTTTCACTGAATGAAGTACTTGGAACAGGTCTAATTAATTTGAATAAATGACATTCTATATGCATTATATCCAAAACTTGTCTGAAGAAATAATTTTTGCACAATGTCTGAGAAATTTCTCAATTTTCTAGACAGTTTTTTTGTGTATGTGCCTACTTGGCTATCAATTGCAAGCTCAACTATCCCTTTCAGAAGCTAGAGCGAAAATGGAACCATTTTACTGAAGTTAGTTCTGTAAAGTAAAATTTAATGGTGTTCAAAGATCAATACAAAATTACAGAACGTAAATTAGCCTGCACCATAGGGTGTTACTGGGAATAAGGGAAACCTTACTAAGAAAAGACTATCACGCATTCTTGAGTGAAAAAATCACAAAATGCAAGTGCGCAGTTCAAGATATTGTTAAAATGGGAACATTTCGTAATGGAATTGAAATCCAATTATAGGTATTAAAGGAATAAAATGGTTCTAGTTCAACATTTTAATTTTTTGCAATAAAATTGTATCAGTTACACTAGGGAAACATGAAAATTTGCGCATAGAGAATTATTGCAATATGTGTTAAAGAAAAGAATACAGAATAAATGAAATTTTTATACAAGATTCTATTGTTTAATCAACTGATTGTTCAAGTAAATTTTGTTATCATGAAAGGCAGATTATTTGTAAAAGAGATCTCGCAGTATTTATGAGTGGTTTTTGCTATAATCAATTTGAAAATTTTAATTGTTTCCCTTTCTGATGTGTTTTGACATGGCTTTTCTGTCAGATTTGGGCTGAACTATAGATGAAATGAGTTTTTGCCCCCAGCTCATTGTTGTTTAGTGTATTAGTTACCACGAGAAAAAATTGAGAGAAACTTATGCTTCATTTTAGTTTTAAACTTTGCCCTAATTCAGACATTTTTGCTTTATTATGGCTATTTCGTTCTTTTTCAAGCTGATTGTTATTTCAAAGTGCATCAAGAATATTGTCAGTATTATTCCAGATCTGGTTACAATTTTTCATTTAAATTTTCTGACAAGGAACTGACATCTTTCAAAGCACTGTTTCCATGTCAGAAATAAGACACTTTATGTTAAAAATAGACTTTATCAACAGGTTTATGACAATAGACTGACAATAATAATGATATTTTACTCTAGAAATTATTTTAACTCTGAAAACACACAGCAGCTGGTAAAAGCTAACAATAAGCAACAAATTGTGAATAATAATATCAACTTCAAAGGAATATACAAAATGTATAACCAGTTAGTTTCCCTTTTAATAAAATAATTCCTTTATAAGTTCACAGAACTTGAGCTCACATCATCTCCCCCAAAAGAAGTTAATTCAAGCTGAGTTCTTGTTATCTCCCCCATAAAAGTTCATACAAGCTGAGGTTTCATCAAGTCCCTCATAAAAGTTCACCCAAACTGAGCTCTAATCATCTTCCTCATAAAAGTTCATACAAGCTGAGCTCCCATCATCTCCCCCATTAAAGTTAATCCAGGCTGAGTTCTTGTCATCTCCCCCATAAAAGTTCATACAAGCTGAGCTCTCATCAACTCCCTCATAAAAGTTCACACAAGCTGAGCTCTAATCATCTTCCTCATAAAAGCTCATACAAGCTGAGCTCTCATCATCTCCCCCATAAAAGTTTATACAAGTGGAGCCCTCATGATTACTCTATTACAAATTCACATAAGCAGAGCTCTCTGCACTCTATTGTAAGTTCATGTAAGTTGAGATGTGATAAAATCACACATGTTGACAGTTCTCATCATCTCACATACATTTTGTGAAATACATTTTTACTTCAAACTTCCTGTACCTTTAAAACTATAACTTCAGGGAAGCTTTTTATTTAATTGTTCCTTTTTCTTTTAGTTCCTATCTCACTTTCTAAAGCTATATAGATTCAAAACTCTGTGGCATGAACAGTAAAGGAATTGCATTTTTATTACTACAGAAAAATTTCACTTAAGATAAAACATTCATCACTATTTCTTGGTTAAGTCAAGTCCACTTTTTCTAGGTATCAATTTCCGGGGAAACTTAGTTTTTGGCTGTAATGCTGGCATATTAATCAATCAAAAGGCACCTTTATTTAGCTCTCTAAGGAAATAGCATTGCATTTTCTCGCACTTAAAGGTTTCCACAACTAGCACATCATGCAGGTTCCTGAGGTGAATAGAGAAGTTCCGAAATCAAATAAATTTTAATTAAGAAGTCAATGGATCAGGGACTGTAGTCAATGACTAATTAATGTTCCAGCAGATTCTTAATGCAGGGTAACTCTTCACCTTTGAAGGAAAAATAATGAGAGTGCAGCCATTTTCTTGAAAATTTTCTGCATTACCTTCACACATCTTAAAATTGTGATCTAATTACAGAACTTTGAAATTTTGTTGAATTAGAAAATTAGAAAAAAAAATACAGTGGAAAAAGAATCATGATAGTAAAACTAAATTTACGGGACAAAAAAAACACCATTTGAGACATAAAAAGTAGCAATAACATCTAGATAACTAGACTAAGTGAGAGATTAATTGAATGATATAGTCAAACCATGCTGTAACAAACAATGTACTGTAACCGCACTCATTGAACTTGTATATATTTTGTTTTGAAACTTTACTGCAACAACTGGATTTTCTAGAATTATTAATTTTTATGAATATATTTATAAATCAAACTGAAGTATAGATAGACTGGCTATTGGTCACTATTTGGTTTAAACTCACATCACATAATAGTATTAGTTACTTTTTTTTTCTTAAAACCAAAAGACTTAATCTATAATAGTGTTCAAAAACAAACTAAATTTATTTACTTAAAAACAAATTTGAAGTATATACATGCTTGTAATACACTTGTTTTAAATTTCAACTTAATTTCCACAAAATGTTCAGCTGTAAATGTTTTAATTAAAATCTTAAATACATGAAGAGTGGAAAAATAATAAATAAAGAATAATAAATACAAAGTTCCTTCAAGCGAACATTAAAAATTTGTAGTTGATGGCTTTGTGCAGTTTTTCCTTAAATCAAGTACGTCTAACACTGAATCTCTCTAATAACTGATAATATTTCAAAATTTGTCAAAATAAATATTGAGGGTAACCTTTGATTAAGTCTTGAATGTGCAGCAATTCTGGAGAAAAAAAATATACATGTTGTAACTACTTGGATGGTGCATGCTTTAAAGAGATTCTGGCTGTTGAATTAAAGAACATGGCAGGGTTGATAAAATTGTTTACAACTACAGTCCGGCAATCTGAAGATTGTCAACCAAAACACCTCGTTGTTTCATTCTTTCCGTATAACTTACCTTTTGATGCCGATTGTTGCCATAAAGGAAGCATCGGTCATATACACCATAGAAAACAAAACAAGCAAATAATCAAGGGAGACAAATCATTTCAGTCACGAAAAAGAAATAGTTATCTCTTTTAATATTAATAAAAATTGAAACATTTACTAATATCAACTTTTTAACTATGACCTAGAGTTATTTAACTGTAAAATGATAAACTGTACTGTGGCACTATTATTTAATGAAAATATAAGTGATTTTTTGATAGACTATATTGCGGAAGAATTTTACCTGTACTGGTTGTGTTAGATTCTGCATCGGCTACTTGTTTGAGTCTGAATGGTAATCTGTCCTTAACATCTTTAACATCATCAGTGTCGTCTTCATCTTCAGTTTTAACATCAGTATCAAAGACACGTGTTGACTTGTTTACACCATCAAACGACTCTTTCCGTGTTATAGGTGCTGATATAGGCGTACGTTTAGAGCTGATTACATTGTTACCATCGTCACTGTCACAGTTACCATCAAATGCATCACTTTCATTCTCAACATTTTCTTTATTGCACTTGTTTACCTTATGTCGTATAAATTTTGTGATGTCACGTAAAGGGAAGTTCGTCCTGCATTCTCCACAAACAAGAAGGTCATTTTCTTGTTCAACTGTAATGAAAAAAGAAATCAGTGTTTTAACTAAGATGAAGATATATCAACAATTACAGGGGGATTTTTCCCCCCACTAAAATGCTCAAGGTGTAAAAAACAAGCTTTAACCACATGTCAATCTTCATAACTAATAGTCCAACATACATGTATTATAAATTTTTAATAAACTGTTCCTTTTCAAAAAAAATATAATAATCATAATCAAGAAATGTTTTTGTTTTTTTCCACTAAACTCATGACATAATAATAGTAATAATCATATTGTTTCAATTTTAGGGGAATATAAAAAAATAATTGAGCCGTGACACGACAAAACCAACATAATGGGTTTGCGACCAGCATGGATCCAGACCAGCCTGCGCATCCGCGCAGTCTGATCAGGATCCATGCTGTTCGCTATCAGTTTCTCTATTTGTTATAGGGTTTGTAAGCGAACAGCATGGATCCTGATCAGACTGGGCGGATGCGCAGGCTGGTCAGGATCCATGCTGATCGCAAACACACTATGTTGGTTTTGTCATGACGCAGCTCATATGTGCTGATTGAATAGCAGTACAGACCATGGTCAGGATATGTTGGCTGTTGTGGTCTGCACTGGTCAGATGGGAAAATACAGTTATCATCAGCAGGCTTAGAGTTACATAATAAACTACTGTTAGTATTTCAAAACTGTCTCATAAAATGATAGAAAAAAAATCAAGTAAAAAAAAATATGTAAAATTATAACTGTTTTAACTTCATCTAAATTGAGTTTGTAATACTAAATTTCTAATATTTTACACCAATCAAAAATAAAAACATAGCAATTTGTGAAAACATAAGTTTTATAATTCATGAATATAAACCTGTTTAATATCATTAGAAAAATCTACATAGCAAATAAATTGCAGTAAAATAAGCTAAAACAAAAATCATTATTATATTGCATTATTTACTGGTAATGAACATCTTATTTGAAATAATCTTCTGAACATAAATAAATTAGGTCATTTTCAAAATGTTTTACAAAAGTGAACAAGTGCATGTACATTATTTCATTAATTTATTTGAATGAAATGAGAACTGTATTCTATCAACCATTAGAATTGTTTTCCAACTTACCAAAAAAAAAAAATAAAAAAAAATCTAAGTTTATTTACATTTCAGAAAAATAAATTGGATACATAAAGCAACATTTGTGTTTACTATATGCCTGCAACAGTTAGGGAAATAACCGAGTCCAATTTCAACATCAGTTGAGTATACAAAAAAAAATGTGACAAAGATTTAAACTACATGAAAATAAGAAAACAATTCTTTATATCAAAATTTAAGAAAAAACATAAATATTTTTTTAATAAAAAAGACAACAAAACAGCATTAAACTGAATTATTTCAAAGATCAAACAAAAACAACTGCTCATGATATCCTTTTTCCCCATTTTCTCTTTCTCTAAAATTTGATTATATATTTTTTTGTTAAAATAAGCTTTTTCATTTTTCAATGATTGTCTATTAAATTTGAAGAAAATGAAAAATAATTTTTTTAAAAATATTACTGACTTGTACTGTTTATGTTCTTATTTTTCTGATTTCCTCGATTATATGACATTGCATATTAAATACAAAATATTTCTTATACATTGCATTATGTCAACAAAAAGATTTAATGAAATTTGGAGTGTGACATAAATGTTTGAAAATCTTTTTATCATAAAGTTTGACAATTTGATTAAAATATGAAATCATTTACAGAGTTTTTTTCTTTTTATTACCATTGCTTTTAAAAATCTCCTTTTTTATTTGTGCTGTAAATATTATATGACATAAATTTTGTCAATATGAAGTTCAAATGTTAAAATTCAAGGTGATGATAAAATATTTTTGATTAAGGAAAACTGATATTTGAATGAAAACAGTATTGTTTATCTTATTATCTAGTTGCAAATAATAAATCTATCTTTTTCATTTAAAACATAATAATTTTTTCACATTTTTTTTCTGTAAAAAGTAGTCAACCAAGGCATTTATTAGCATTTGTAATAATACAACTTTAAGAAATATTTGAAGCTATTTTCTAGCGAGAAAATGAACCTTTTTTTCTCTCCAAGTCTTATCTTTTTTCCCTTTTTTTCCCCTTTATAATAAATGATATACATAAATCTGGCAATCTTTAAATTATGCAAATGACTGAAGTCACATGACCGTATGGTCAACTGACTGATGCATTATGGGACTATTATGCAAATGACATGGTTCAACAATATCAGCCAATGAATGCATCAGTTAGTTACATATATTATAAAAAATGTGAAATATATTCAGAGAGCACCAAGAAAAATGCATATTTATATTGTTTCTTACAAATTGTTTCAAATCAAATAAAATAGCTTACTTTCTGTGAGATTTTCTAATCCAAATATTTCACTACAACTTGAAATGTTACATGATTCCACAACATTTTCACACATATTTTCAGTTTCATAGGTAAATTCTTCTATTATGTTTTTCCCTTTAATTATACCACATAAAGCCGTAAAATGACATCATTTTATCTTATTTTTCTCACAACTTCAATTGTCTGAAAGCTGCTTTTATGGAGCACAAATATAACGATTATCCACAGAATACTCTCTAAAATCTGTTTAATTCATGTGCACAATTCAAATCCGATTTTAAAATAATTCAGAAAATATTTTCTAATTTCTTCTCATTTTGCCTTTTTAAATCTTTTGTCTTTTTAGTTATTAAAATGACAGCCTTTGATTTTACCATTGTAATATCTATCGCAGAATCTCCATATTCAAAGTTTTTCATCAAATTTCAAAGAAAATTGTCAATGGATGACAAGAAAGTTGCGACTCTATCAAAGTGTCTCGAAATGATCTCATATCCGAGAGGAACATGAACTTTCAAAGACTTAAACTAAGAATGGCTCAATTTTATATAAACCTTATCATCCTATTTTAATACCATATGACATCAACAATCGAAGATGCCGTATGTAATTACGACATCACATATTGGCATATCTTTTTTCTTTCAGAAAAACAAGAGAGAGAAAATTGTCATAAAAAACGAAGGAAAAAGAAGCAGTAGTGTCAAGGCTGTTGATTTGTACCCTGCAATTACTTTACCTAAATAACTATCACATCACATAACATCCCAGTCAGATAGCCAATTGTGTTTTTTTCTTATTTCAACTTTCAACAAAAAGCCATGAATTTAAAGAAAACGTCATTTTATTTAAATGTAATTCAATCCATGCCCATTTCGATTTTCACCTTTCACTGGTGTCAGATTGGTTTCAATGAAAATTCATCTCGACTATTATTTCATTTCTTTCTATTTCTCGGCAACAAACAGGAGTAGTCATTAAGTAAATCAAAGCCTCCTTTAAAATCACTCACAAGTAAAATGTAACATTTTTTTTCATTTGACGTCCTTTACAACATGTTGCTGACATTTCCAGAAATGAGACTTGCTGAAACGTTATATCACTGTTCTCAAATATTTAATAAGTATTTCTTTAAATGATGTCTTTTTTTGTTCTCACAAGGAAAATGATTATAAGTCCTGTAGTGTAACAAAATGCTATTAATGCAAAAAGTACATTTCAATTCTTAATAAAAACATCTATTCTGAAACAACAAATCAAATTCCAGTTTGAACACCATGGTTGGAGAAGACATAACTTACTACTGGGCACTGGACTAAATAGATGAAAAATTCTATTTCAATAACATCTTTAAGAGCATGGTCGGTAGTGTCACTTTCATACTATCCCGTTAATTGACACATCAAAATGCAAGTAAACGCTGAAAGCTGGCATGAATTTAAAAGGAATATGCATATTAATGACCCCCACATGAATGGACAATGGTCAGAACCTCAGGTGCATGAAGAACTTATCTTATTATTGTTCCACCTAAAGTGGTGTTTTTTGTTGACCCTTTAACACTTTTATAGTATTTCCCAGGACAAAATTGACCAGTGGGCAGTGGAAAAAGTAGCCAGTGGTCATTAACATATCAACATGTTTTGTTTGCCCATGACTGACATTTCCTATCAATAGAAATCTGTATTGTTAAAATATTAATTTTCTAAGTTAATGACTTGGTGTTAATTTTTAACCTGGAGAAAATTAAACTTTCAATGTTGAACAAGCTCGTTTGACATTTCACACTAATGTAAAATAAAAGTTTACATGTTGTGTTATTTTTTATTTTTTTATTATTTTTTTTTGGTTATACGGTAAACTGAAACATTTTTTATTCATGACTGTTAGTATTTACAAAGAAGTTGTATGTATTTTTTTTATATACAAATATTACATCCATTACTTCTCTAAAAGAATAACCATGATGGATTTGCTATTGTTATATGTACACATACATATCAAGCATGTACTACAAATAGACCATTTAATTTGAAAGATGAATATATGTAAGAAAAATCTTGATGAGACAATAACATGATGTTGGAAAATTTCTTTGCATATATGACCTGGACGGTAATTCCTTGCATAATTTCCAGCACTTGAAGGACTTACAGTAATGCTGATGACCTTCCACATAAGTTAGAATCTCTGGCTAGGCTGTAATGGGTTTCAAAGTACAACCAGTAATGCCCTTGATTCATTAGTTACTTCTCCTTTTACAGTTATTTGACTTGAGCTTCGGAGACTACAGGCTATTTCCCTTAGTGTGAGCTTTTTTGTCAAGACTGCCTGTAACAACATATATAGAGTCTTATCTCTACAGTTGGTATTAATTTCCTATTATCACGTAATCTCAAGTTATAGAAATTACAACATTTCTTGTGGTGTTGACATTTCAATTCATTATCATTTTGCACCGATGACATTGCAACACACTGTTGATGCTGGCTGGGATATGGAGAGAAATGGCTTAGAAGACAAAAGAGTTGTTATATGGCACCAGGCTAAACCACATGTCACAGATGTTTTCATATTTATTCTAGAAAACTTATGACTTCAAGTGTGAGTCTATAAAAAG